TAATTAATCTACCCAAAGGTTTGACAAGCTGAATGTGGTTATAATTCCCATCTTGCAGGTTTATAATGGAGGAATCTAAGATAGAGAAATGTTACGTAATGCTCACGAGGTAACATGATTGGGGGAAAACTAAGGTTTGAACCTAGGAAGGCTTTCTCTAAATTTGATACTCTTTACTGCTGTATTCTATTCCCTCTGCCATTTCAAGGACTGGATAGGATTAAAGAAACCAGTTTCAAAGTTCTGACTCACCGTTTGTAAGTCCTGAAAGTTAAAATGGCAGATTTTTCAGGGATAAAGTTCTCCACAAAACCTTTTTTCTATCTTGTCTCAAAACAGGAAGATAACCACCTGGAGTTGAACTCTATTGTTTATTTTCTCTTGACCTTATGAAAAAAGTTATAGCTCCAAGGCCACCCTAATGACATCCAGACCACCAACAAAATAAACATCTGATTCAGAACCTCAGGTTTTATTATTTAGACACAGGAGTCTAACTAACATCACCAGTAACAAACAGATAAGGCTTCTGAATTCAGTGTAAAAACACGTTTAGAATGTTTCACTAAGACACTGATTTTTAGAAAACATATGGGCTAAATGATTCACATTAGCAATAATCAGACTTCATTATAAGTTTTCCTTGAACAAAACTTGGACATTATGGGCATGTTATGTAACTCAAAAGAGTATTTCTATTGTTTCAAAGCACTTAGCAATGCAATCTGTTTGCCATCCTCCACACCAAATACTACAGAAAAAGATAGTTTCAAAAAAAAAATGCCATTTAACTGAAGTAGTGATTCTTAATGCTGTTTTTCAATGCAAATTTAATTTCTAATAATTTCGGCATCCCTTATGTTTCATTTTTATGCCATTTGGGTATTTTGACTTTCGTCTTCTTTGAACTTTTTATTTCATTCATTTAGATGACATTTTTCCACAGCAATGTTTGACCTCAGTCATGGAAAAAAACAAAGATTTTATTAGTTAATCTGAAAGGAATTCACTTCTTCTATGTTTTCATTAGGCATAGACAGACATTCTAGTGGTTAATGTAGCTCTCCAAACTGCAGTTAACAAATGATTTATGTAAGAATAGCTATCTCATTTTTTCCATTGTCATCTTGACATGAAACAGGCAGTTTCTCCTTTGAAATTCTGTTTTTTTTTTTTAACATTATATGATCTTTTTAACTTTTATTCATTTATTTATTTTTTGACTATGGAAACAATGGGACTGAGCTTTCTTCTGGAGAAAGTTGTTTTACAAGAAACAGTTCACTGAGACATTTCCAGAAAGTTATTGTAGCCCTGGAAACTTTACAAATGTTCCTCATATCCAGCAAAAGCAATAACATCTTCCAGCTTTAAAGCTTTAAGTCTTAAGCAATCTGCTTTAATCACTTCAAGGCAGTGATGTCATGTGATGTTATAAAATAAGAGAACTGAGCTACGTAATTTTTGGCATTCTTTACCGAAGAAGAGTCACTCACAGTGGAAGCCATGCTGTTCTGGTGGATGGCACTGTTCTTGGAGTGACAGCTCGGAGGTCTGGCATGAGACTCTGAAGGTGTGGACTAGGAGCTTCCCTAACGACCAGTCTTTAAGCCCAACTACAATCCCAATAAACCCAAAGCCAGTGATTCTTGATTTTTAAAATAAGCCTGTACATAAGACATCAACCCAGGAACTTATTTTAGTTAGAAGGTATTTAACCAGTTTTTCCTTTTTCTCAGAATCCTAACAGTGGCTTTGCTCCTTTCTCTTAAAATATTCAGATGCCTAATTTTATAGTTTAATCAGAATATATGTTTACTTATAGGCTTTTAGATTGTCTGATGTTGAATACTCTGGAAGTAGCAAGAAAATACCACAAGGTATAATGATGTATAAACATAAAATTTTGTATCAAAATTACCTTTATTTTATTTACAATTTATATTATCACAGAATGGTGATAACTTCTAGTTAATAAGCTTCTGAACCTCTTGATAAAAAAAAAGACTTACCAGTTTAAAGTTTAGTATCAAACAGAAAGATGTCTATCCTTTTTAACCTTTATAAATGCTTATATATTTTCTAACAATAGTTTCTAGTTTCTCCGTTCAAAGACAAATAATTAAAAAATTAAGACCCTGAATTTAATGTGTTTTGTGTTCTCAACTGATCTAGAATTTATCCCGTTCTTAACTCTGTCATTTCCTCATTTTAGCATCTCAACTAAAATACTGAATCCATGTTAGATTACTGACAATGGGATATATAAGATTAGAACACATTTAATAAAAATAACGTTTCTCTCCCTACCCTGATAAAGCAATATTACATAGTAAAAGCTGTCCGTATATGTATCTACTCAGCTAAATGTCGGTGATTAAAATACTTTTGTCAAATAAAGACAACAGAGACGTGAAAAATGTTTTAAGACATAGTCATATGAGGAATTTAATGTGGCTATAAAATTTAAGCTTAGTCCTGATAAGTCTTTGAGTATTATTACCATTGTGTTTGCGTATATATTTGGCAATTTTTTTGGTTGTTTAATAATTTCCTTAGAAATGCAGTGCTTCACGTTTACAATTCACACGTGTAATTTTTGAAAATCTCATTATAAAATACTGATTCCATCTGTGTAATAATAATGTTGGCATTGGTTATATAAATGGTAACAGTCAGCCACTAGGCGGCGTGTCTTTGCACTTAAAATTTGGCATGTTTGTAAAGTACAGGAAATATAAAACAGACCATGTTTCTCCACTGGTGAAATAAAACACATGAATTAAATAAAACTTTCACAAATTTGTAAAGAGAGTAACATTCTTTGTGAGGGCATGTCGTATGCGCTAGAAAACTTCTGTAAGTGGACTGGAAGTTAGTACTCATTAGCTCTGCTGTTTCTGGAGTTATTAGGGTTTATACAAGAAACTTTTATGACTGTTCTCTGTGTGTTGTACAGTTATCTGCCTTCTATAACCACCCCAAAGATTATCTACCAGCAGAATTTTCTTGTCAAGTTTATAGGGAATGTAAGACGTACTGTCTTAAGACAATTTTTTTTTCATGGCAAACAAAATCAATAGCTGAACATAATTTCTTTCAACTCTTTTTGAGCTAGGGTCACATCAACATATCAGCGACGTTTCATATCTATTTATTATTAAACTTTTGCACCTAAAGAAAAAAGGGAAAATTAAGGGAACTTATGTAATGTCGAGGTAATGTAGATATCAAACACTTTTTCTCTCTGATAAAGGATCACGAAGAAAAATAACCATATTGTTTACAGAAGACTGTAACCATTAGACAACTTAAAAATGTTCCGTCAATCTTTTGAATTAAAAGCAAAGGTTTGTAGTCCTTTCAATAAGTGGGAACCATGTACCACCCCCTTCCCCCCAAGAAATCAGGAGAATTAAGAGTTTGAAAAAGTGGAAGTCTTTATTGGGGTAGTAGAGAATCGTAGACATTTAGTATCATGGAGGACTGAGAGTTACAAAATCTTCTGGAAGGGACAGAAATGGAAGGGAAAGGGGAGAGGAATAAGAAAAGTAGGAAGACTGAGTTCAAGGGGAAAAATGTGAGTAGGCAGAAAAGAAAAAAAAAAGGAGATGGAGGCATAAGGAAGACACATGGGAGAAGGGAGGGAGTGGAAGGAAGAAAAGACAGTGGAGAAGAGATGATCTTGCCTAGGAAGGGGGTGGGAGAACTAGAAGATACAGAAAGGGAGAGGAGGGCTAAAGGAGCCAAAAGGGGTGGAGAAGAAAAAAGGAGGGGAAAGGGAGAGGAGGAAAAAGGGGGAGAAGAAACTAACGGGACAAGGAATATGGGTGTTTCTTTTCTTTTGTGGTCATGTGCTGACAATAACTGAACAAATGCCATATTGTACCCCTCCCTGCCCCACTTGCATGTATTACCTGTGAGGACATGGAAAATACTTGATATGAAAGCAAAGAAGTAATTTTTTGTGCAGCATGAAGGGGAACACTAAGAGTTTAAAGATAAAATATGTTTAATTGTGTAATCAATGTCTAATTTAGCCTTTAAGTAATTATTTCTATGCCAGATTGCACTTCAATTTGTTCAGAATTTCATGAGAAACATAAAGTTAAAAGGAGTATTTTCATATAAATAATGAGATGAATATATTTTTTTGGAAATCGGAAAATGAAAACCATTACATACATTTATCAATACATAACAAATCAGTTTTTTGAAGTCAGACAGTACTAGTATCTTTACCTTATTTGCAGAAAAGTCAAAACATTCCTGTTGAAAGCATTTTCAATATTCTGTTTATTAGTGCAAAATGTAGAAAATTATAGACTCTTAACAAGAAACTACTAGAGAGTAGGTATTAATCTACCGTTAAGTGTTTGAGATAGAAGTAAAAGAGGAACGCTGAAACATTTTTGGCAGTTTAAATCCATTTAAAACATGTTGACCAATGTTATCCTGTTGCCATTTTACAGAACTATATCCAAGGATTCTAATAATACATAGTATCTTCCTTTAGGCTGTTTTTAGAGCATGCTATTTTAAAATGCATTATGTTATTGGGAAAACAATGCTCAATGGTATAGTCTTACAAAGAATCCAGGCTACAAAAGGGAACCTAAAATTATTACTAAAGACCAATAACTTCCAGACAGCCTAGGGAAGCATTCCAAGATGTTAACAATTTAGAAGGGGAGCTTTTTAAAGTCTTTTGTAAAACTTCCCAGTGCTTTTTAACATGAAAACAAGTTAGAACAGCTTTATCTTTAAAAAAAGAGAGAGAGAGAGAACTTATATATACACATATATGACACTATTCTTTATAAGCAAATGTAAAAAGCACAATCATGGTTAACTCAGTGTTTCAGAATTAGGAGCTCATAGAAGAAATTATGTTTTAGGAGGCTCACCCTGTTTCTTCCCCCCGACTCCCCATACCTCTTTGTGAAGAGAAGTAAAGACAAAAAAACCCATAAAGTTTCTTAAAATCAATACCTACTCACCTTGCTGCTGATCTTGTGCCAAAGTAACAGTGGGATAAAGCAAAGCAAGAAGTAACCAGGTCCCCTTTTGCACAAAGCTCATCATGTCTAAATATCAGACATGAGACTCTTTGTGCAAAAAGGAGAAAAGAAAAGCAATTCAAAGTAGCACCATCAGTTGTTCCCTGCCCTTCAGCACCGGGCCCGTCATAAAACTCAGCCACTGAGATTCCTTTGCTTTGGCCTTAAATAGGAAAAAGTTTGGCTTCCCTCACTTTCCAGCCCCTTTCTGAAATATGAGAGCAGCACCCATCCCCTCAGCAGTAAAAGAAATGATTAATATTTCTTTTTCCCTTATAGAAGACACAACCCACAGTGTAAGAAAAATAGCACATCTGGAGCTTGTGTGCATCTGCTTATGTTTAAGTTTGTTGAACATTTTAGTCTCATATACATGTTTGTAAAACTGAAGAACCTATACAGAACTGTGCTGCCTTGTGTTTTAATATATAAGACCTTCATGTATGCATTTTAAATTTCCCGTATAACATTAGTAACTGGATAATTTTGAGAAACTGTTTGATGTCCAATTCTTGGGTATGGCTAATTTGCAAACCTTGTCTTAGAAGATTCTTATATTGGGATTGTGCCAGACCCACCCTAACTCAATTTAAAGGGGGGAACTGTAGGAGATTTACTGAAAGAAAAGCCTGTTTGCCACTTTTACACATCCACCCACCCTGGGTCTTGGAAGTTAAATTTCAGGCAAATGTCAAAAGACAAAGTATCTGAGCTACATTTCAATGGCATCCTAAAAGTTAGATACTTATCTATAGCTGTTTCCATTCTTCACAGATTTCTTTAGCAAGCCAGCATGTTTCTTGTGAGCTTTCCAATTTTTATGCTGCTTAAGAAAGTTAGAACAGATTTTTCTAAAGAAAAAGGCAGCCTTTTTATGTCTTAACTTTGCAAGAAAATGGAAGAGAGTTTATCACATAAGACAGCAAAAAGGTACCAGAAGAAATTCTCATTTTTATCTGATTTGGTATAAGGATTAGTATAAATATTTCTAAATTTAGACTTCTATATACATACTTTCCGGATCCTCACAAACATAACTTTCCAATGCTTCTCTGGATCTACCTGAGGAGTAATGTCTGTGTCATATTCTTAAAAAGGGGCAAACACTATTATTATAGGTCTTTAATAAATCTCTGTAGTAAAATATACTTGTCCACAGTATTAAGATATTTCTTGTAATCAAGATATTTATTTATACTCTAATCATCAGTCCATAATTCCTTCATATATCTCTATAATTGAATTATAAAAAAGGTCACCTGCCTTTTTTCCTTGTTAACTATGCCTATCTTTGTGTGTGTGCACATATAATCCTCCTTACCTCCTACCAGTTCACTGAAATCATTTCACTACGGCACAACTCAAAAGTGTCCTTAGAGAAATCCTTTTTTAACCTGCTTTGATATCTTTCTCCCTTTTCATGTTGGTGAGTATTTGCTCAAATCATTATATATATATTCCCAGGTATATACCAATTCTATAAGCATGTACAGTAGTGCATTTGCTTCCTTATATATCCACTCAGAATACGATATCGCCCTGTAGTTGACATCACCCAATGGTAGGAACGGAGAAATAGAAGACCAATCTTGTCTCTCTTCCGGTCTTGGATTGTAGATTCATTGACTGAAGGAAAAAAAAAGGAACTCTCGAAAACAGTCATGAATATGAAATTTTTGGCTAGATCATAATGGCGATGTTGAGAAAGAAATGTCATTGTGTGTATTTTTCTGTCTTTCAATGATCTTCATCCTATATAGTACTTTAAAAATTATCTTGTGTTCAGACAAGGTTAAGAAAAAACATCATCAGTTTTTCCCAGGGTGACTTTGGCAACTATTTTTTTAAAAAGTATATTAAAAAATAGATTTTCTCTTATTATTTTTGATGGTCAATAAAAGTTGAACTTTACTGATTTCTTCTCATCAGAATTACTTTCCAGCATAAAAAATTAGAAATGTTACTTTTAGAAATGTTTTTTATGCTTTACTTCAGGCATTAGATATAAAATTCCCATTGTATTTTTTTGTCCTAAAATTCTTAATTTGTTTAGCCATTCGAATTGAATCTTATACTCATGACAAAATATCAGGATCAATGCACTCATCTATGAAAAGTTGGGTGATAGTTTGTAAATAGGAGCATTGATTATTTTAAGATCTTTAGGAGAAACCTAGAGAATTTATTTTCCAAGTCTTCTGATTTACTCTTCATGACTGCCTGGACAATATTGGAGGTCTGGACTCAGGACCCCATGCATTCTGTGTCTTGGATCCTCTTCCTCTCATGTCAAAGTATTTTGTAAATATGGTATCTAGATGGGTGTGGCTTTGAGCTAGGGTCACAACTAGGGGAACCATTTCTACTGGTGAATCTTATTATCCAGCCAAGAGTTGATGTCCTCATAGTAATCTAAACAACTTTTTTTCTATACCTCCCTGACTTCATTGATACTCACCAAGATGTCATTTTGTTTTCTGGATTTCATTTGGAGTCTTAACACAAAATCTAACTACACCAACTAAAATACTGTTCAATTTAGTTCTCCTTTAACAAAGAGAGTGTCTGGAAAAAAGAAGCAAAGGAAGGGTGTGGCAGATTATCAACCAAAAATTCATTTTTTTTTCCAGTTTAGTGGAAAGTTTAGCTTGGGAGACTAGCACAGACACAGCTGTGATGAACTCAGTAGGCCAGAGAATGTCAGCAGTGCTCTCTACAATAGCAATAAGAAAATCAATTATCTCTATCATTAAAAACACATGAAACCAAAGTATTTTAGATTTTTTTTCTCCTTGCTCTCCCTCCCCTTCCCTTTCTTCCTCCTCTTCACTGTTCACTCTTCACTGTTCTGCTTTAGGTGTGATTTGTTTTTTCCTTAAGACAGTGAGATGCATTATTTTTATGGATATATTCTGTATGTTAAATCACTTATCAGCCCTTTAAAATGTATCTGCGATAATAGTCACTTTAAAATATACTAAATCCATAGCATAATTACAGCCTACAGTAGGATAACTACCAATAAAATTGTAAAGTGCACTGCAGGTCTTATTCCTAGAGAGGAGGATCCAACTCAGCCTGCATGGTTGAAACCACCTTTGGAGAATTACGTTCCCTTTATAAGAATGTGAAGAAATAATGGTATATAAAGAATAGAGCTAGAAATATGTTTATGTTGTAGTTGAGGGCCTTGGTCATAGCTAACCATAGATACTTCCAAGATTGAGGCAATGACATTGACAGAGGGATATCATAGTCAAGTATCTGAGTGATATCTGTGATCGATTCTTTAATACTTTCTAAATTTAATTTCCTCTTAGGTCCCTAGGTTGAGTTTATTGTCCTCTTACTTTTTTCTATAGAATTACATTGATAACTATTTTTTTCTGAGCTTAGAAATTTCACTTCTTGTGTGGAACTCGTATTTCCTTAAATTTAGTAAAATAAAGTAATTTGAAAATATTAAGTATCTCAGTTCCTATCTTTTCTTTTTTTTGCTTTGCTATTAAGTCTGAGCCTCTGACTTTCTATCTTTTTGCATTCTGTGGTTGAAAATTACCCCAAAACTGAACAGAAAGTTCAAAGAGGTTGCATGACTTTTAAAATTACTCATTGGAATTGGAATTAAATAGCACACTTTCCAAACATTTTTAACCACGTTTTCCACTTGGATTAGTCACTGATTGTGGTAATGATATTTTTATACAATTTAGGAATTGAATGAATACAAATTTGGCTTTCAATTTTCTATTTTATTTTTAATGAGGCTTTATGAAAGGAAGAAGAGAAAGGAAAATGATGTAGAATCAATTTGAAAAAACAATTATTCTTTTAGATTTTTGCCATAGGTGCATGCACTTGCCAAAGAGAGAGGGAAAGTGAGAAATCACTCCCAAAGGGGGATGGCCATGCCACAATCCCTTCTCCATTCTCCTCTCAGGATTTTGAAGACCCATACACATGCACCCAGTTGCAAAGTCAGCCATGTAGAATACAGTGCTTAAATGTCATGCCACCTCCTGGCCCAAATATGACTTTTTCTTATCATTAATCTTTCAATAATTTTCAGTTCATATTTAAGTAAATTTAAGTAAAAATCATTAACTTATACTTAATGATAAAGTATAATCTTAGGACATAATAATAATTCACACATGGGTGTACATGTGCTTATATACATGCATATATACACATATATGCACCATAGTTCTTCAAAATATTCTAAAAAAAAAATCTGTATTATAGAAGAACTGTGTGTGGGTTTCAAACATTGTTTGCACCAAAACAAACCAATACTTTGGTTCCATTTTGCTACAAACTTCATGAAGTCTCATTATATAAAGGTATATGTGTGTATGTATGTTATATGTAACTAAGTGCATATAAATAGACAAAGGTTTACAGAAAACAGTGCAAGTATAACTTCTAGAATTAACATGCATGTAAGCTAATTTGTATTTGTTGTATTATTTTTTTCTCATACAAATTTATAAACATCTATGAGCTTCCTCTTAGGTGAAAATAAATCTGTCACTTGAAATCTTATGTGCTTAATAGACAATTGACCACAGAAAGGGAAATAACTGCCTAATAACTGTTAGAATTGTGAAACTATTTTAAGTATTGTAAGCAAGTTGTTCTGAATTAAGTCTTCAGGTACTTATCCTATGAACATGTTTTATGTGTTATCATTACTGAAATTATACTTGAATATTCATAGAAAATTAGATTTCAACTCATTACCTAACACAATGACTCATCCTTGAACAGTGCAATTACTTTATAAATTTTGCCACAAGGGTGACATGGAGGCTGGGATGCAACATCTTGCAAGAGTGCAGGAGTTCCCTACTGGGTCTTCAGTTGATTTAATCATTCTCAGGATTGAAGGTCCATTCTGCAAATCCCACTAGATGCTCTATCAATATAATTTGTCAATTGAGTCATACTTAGGAATGTTCAGCAGTATCCAACACAGCTGCAATAGATCTTCAACGTAGCCAATTCTGTCTGAAGATAAAAAGAAGGCCTAGTTACAATTTTATGATGGAAGCATGAGATAGGCCCAAGCCAGATTCATTGAATTTGCATGTTTGAAATGAAGATAATTTTAATTCTTATCAATATTCTTTACAGTCAGATACTCAATGGGGGCCA